ATAGCTTGGTAGTTTTTATTTCATTTCAGGTAGACTGCATTTATTGGCAGATTTAATAGTTTCGACAGAACATCATTGTTTATCTTTTTGGTTACTGAGGATAGATTTCTTCTTGCCGTTTAAAAGCTCAACTTGCTGACCTGAGAACACAGCAGGCTCAGTTTTCTCACTCGGGACATCTACTGCTGACATTGGTGAGTTGACGATCACGGGTCGACCTTGATCGTCAAAGAACTTTCTTCCTCTCTTGCTGACAGCCGCGCAGTAACTGCCAGCATCAAAGCTACCCTTTATCACATTTTCTTGAAACTTTCCCCCCATGTTCCCTGCTGGTTTATATCTTCCGACGATATATGCACACTTCATGCCATTTTGTTGCGCTTCCGCTCGTCCCATACCAAGATCCGTACTTTCTTTCCACACCACTTGGGTAAAATGACCTGTTCTTGAACTAAAACCGCCGTTGTTGAAATCGTAGCCTGGATCACAGACCTCGTTATACCTGACAAAATTAAATGTCACAGTTACGCTCCAGCTAGTGCACAAGCCATTGGACTGAGTAGATAAAAGTAGATAACAAGTGAATATGTGAAAGATATTTGAACTGCGAAGAAAGATATGAAGACATGATTGATCATCGCATTTATACACACAACTTAAGAGGTTGTGAAATTAAATCAGAAATAAAACATTTAGCGCCCAACTTGTTGTCGCTGTGCTATAAAAGAATTACTTCATGCTTTTAGCTGTGCGTATATCGAGTTATGGATGTACTTGGGAAGTTTAGAGAGCACTCAGGAAGCTAGANTGACTGCCTTGGGAAATTTAGGAATATAAAGCTTTCGTAAACAGAAATTTCTCTCTGGAAAATGCATGCGTAAGATATTTATTCACGAGTTGTGAATAGTCCCGTTAACCTTGTACGTCAATTCATCACTAGTTAAATGTGATCGTTCACTTCTTGAGGGAGTAGTGATTTTTTCCCAGTGACATTTTATTGTTCGCGTTCCTGATTGGTTGAGGACACACAATACTTTTGCGAGTGTCCGTCAGAAAAACCGGTCGTGCGTAATGATGCAAACTTATAGAAGTTTGGAGAATACTCAAGCAAATAGAGTTGCTCTTAACTGCGCTTCCAGCAACTTCTGTCTTGCTCCACACACTTTCCGCTTGAATCATAACTCGATGGTGGATACTAAAGCATGAATCAGTTGATAAATGCCCAAAGAACAATGAAGAATGTAATACTCTCACCTCCAGTCTCTGGACCCCCGATTCCAGCCCCCGGTCCTTCTTCTCCTGGACCCTCTGTTCCCGCTCCCGGACCTTCCTCTTCTGCTCCTGGACCTTCTTCTTCTACTCCCGGACCTCCTGCTCCGGCTCCAGGGCGTCTACCTCCGGTTCCAGGGCGTCTTCCTCCGAATCCTGGACGTCTTCCTCCGAATCCTGGACGTCTTCCTCCGAATCCTGGACGTCTTCCTCCGAATCCTGGACGTCTTCCTCCGAATCCTGGACGTCTTCCTCCGAATCCTGGACGTCTTCCTCCGAATCCTGGACGTCTTCCTCCGAATCCTGGACGTCTTCCTCCGAATCCTGGACGTCTTCCTCCGAATCCTGGACGTCTTCCTCCGGCCCCCGGACGTCTTGCTGCTGCTCCCGGACGTCTTATATCACCCCCTGGTCTTCTTGCTCCAATTCCTGGAGGTCTTACCTCAGCTGGTGGAAATTCCCCAGCCCCTGCCCCGCCCTCTTGTCCTCCTGCTGGCCCTATCTCAACTTGTATTGTTAAAGAAGCCTGACCGTTTTTCCTGATTATTCCATTTCCCGAAAGTTGTATTTGGGAATCCTGGCTGAAGATGCTTCTGGCCACTGTATTCTGACCTGAAATAAAAAGTATTACACCAAAAAAATATAGAATAACT